AAGAAGAAAAAGAAGAAGAAGAAGAAGAAGAAGAAGAAGAAAGAGCTCCTCACCCAATTCTGTTTTGCATTTGCCTTCTCAACATGTTGAAAGGTTAACTTCTTAGAGGAACTCATGTCACATATTTAGCAACGTGTACTTGCTTGGCCATGCAAGCATAAATATAAATTAAGGACTTTTATTTAATTTATTGCCATTGACCATAAAGGATATGAAATGTTGCTCTTATCCAACGTATATATTTGGTTCTTTCTCATCATTCCTCGTAGAGAAATACTACTAGACCACGAATTAGTGGGTATCTAACATATATATATGTATGTTAAAGAAATCGTATATGGCCAAATTATTTTTAACTTTGTTGCTTATTTTATTTCCTTACTGACCTCATATTTCTACTCAAAAAGACACTCTCTTTTTACCTACCATTATTTCTAAGATAACTCAACTTTTTTTGTTTAATATTGTGGATAAAAAATTGTAAAAGCACGATGAAAGATGACAAGGTCTTGCTAGGAAAGTCCACTCCAACATCCATCTTGTTATCTATTGCCCAAAAACATGCAATCAAAAGATTGAATGATATAAGAAATGTTAGAAAATAATTATAGGGTCTAGTGAGTTTAGATGGATATGTAGATAAGTGGTGGAGAAAGAAGGATAACTTATATAAATAAATAAAATCTAAGTCCTTAGATGTCTATTTGCAAAATGGTAAACTTGTCATCAACAATTCCATTAAAAAATGAATGGAAAAATACAAATAATCTTGAATGAGGGTGGGAAAAATAAAACAGGGAGGTGAAAATAGCATTATTTTTTTAAAATAAATAAAAATATAAACGATATTATAAATTATTCTAATATTCAGGAAGGATATTCAAACTCGATGCAAGAGGGCAAATTTACTACGTGACCAGCTAACCTAAACCATACATGCAGGATCACTCTTTTTTACAAGATGAGTTTATGGTCCAACCCAATTCAATTAACACAAATTCAAAGACAGTAATTGGACCGCCGAGAAAAAGCAACCGGCAGTAATTGGACCGCATCTTCCTCTCTCTTTTCATAAAACACAGAATCCCAGTTTTACCCCCATCCTCCACATCCCTCACTTTAATTTTCCTTTTTTTGTTTTTGTAATTTTCCTTTTTCAGCTTTTACCTTTAAAAGTTGAAGAAAAAAAGCACATACGGGTTAAAAAAAGGAAGCGGCTTTTTTAAAAATTATTATTATTCAAGGGTCCCAACCCCAAGGGCGATTTTGACAGGTGGGATGGTGGGCCACGTGACGAGTCACACGAGCTTCCTGCGGCTCCAGCTGTGAAAAAACAAAAACAAAAAAGCGGGCTCGCTTTACACGCGAGTACCGAGAGAGAGGGGCCTCTCGCGCGTCGGTTTGTCACCATAATTTTGCAGCCTTGTAACGCCACACACTAGACTCATCAGATTGCAGCCACTTTCTCACGTGAAACTCTCCCCCTCCTGCTCTCCACACGTGTATACATATATAAAGTTTTGAAAAATTCACTATTGTACCTAATATATAAGTCCAAATTATAAAAAAAATCATATATGAAATGAATTTTAGAAACACACCCAAAGCCCATTTACAACATAAAAAAAAGGCTTTTAAATTCTTTTAAATTGCAAAACTATTAATGATTTCTTAAAACAAACTCAACCCCAAAATCTCATAAAAAAATTCAAAACACTCAATAGGGCATCAAAGTAATTTAATAATCAAAATTAAATTCAATAGAGCAAACTTTCATTTTTTGGGTGGTTTGTTTATAGAAATTAAATTGTGTATGATTTATTTATAGTTTTAGTGCTAAAAATGGGTATGTGACTAAATATCTCTATATTTTTTTCCGCATACTAAATATTAAATACCATTTTAGTCACTGAATTTTACACGAAAATTCAACTTAATTACTGAAGAAAAAAAATTAGCCAAATTGATCACTATGTTTCTCAAAGTTTACAATTTATGGACATTCCATTATCTTTCATTAAGTACAATTTTTATTTTTAGTTTTTGGATTTTTGTAGAAATGTTACTTAAACTTATACGGAAATTTCAATTTGTCATCTTAAAGAAAAATTTAAGAAAAATGTCATCTTAATTTTTCAAAACTCATCATTTGTCATTCAACTTTAACACAATCCAATTTTCCATCCATTTTAAGGGTATTTTAGTCTTTCCATTTTTAAGGAAAAAAAGAGAGACCTCTCTCTCCCTTTCTCCTCCACCCGCCCCTAAAATACATCGCACATGACCCCCTCCCCCTATTTTTTTTTTCTCTCTCTCTCCCCTTTTATGAACATGTATATATTTTTTTATGATGTTCATTGAGCATGTCCGAAATTTTCAAATACCTGATTTAAAACTACTTAAGCTTCCCACCCAAAATCCAACCCTTTATTGTCTTCATAGTTTTATTAACTTGCGCCATTGTGTTTCTGTTGAAGGATCTAAAGTTTGCTTAGTCACCATCTGTTACGTAAGATACTGAGTTGTGGGTTTCCTTCCACAAATTTTCAATATGCAAATGGAAAAATTACCAAAATGAAAAAAGAAGAAGAAAAAGGTGGACTCGGTTTGGGTGAGTTGAGGGAATTTGTGTGTGGAGGGTAGGTGTTCCATGATAGAGAGAGAAGGAGGAAGAGGAAGAGGGAAGGGCTAATGGAGGTGGGCGGGGTTAGTTGGAGTCGTCGGTGGCGCACACGGAATGGAGGAATGTAAGATTTTTTTTTTCTTCAATTTTAATTGTTTAAAAAATATAAAAAAAAATTATTATTGATTTTTTCCATTTTTAAAATACCCTTGAAAATGGAAATACTAAAATACTCTTAAAAATGGATGGAAAATTGGATAGTGTTAAAGTCAAATGATAAATCATAGATTTTGAAAAATTAAGGTGACAAATTGAAACTGATGTATAATTTCATGTGACATTTCTACAAAAATCTCTTTAGTTTTCTAGGAAGCACGTTCAATCTTGTTCCTATATTATATTTGGATGCTCTATATTGAAGCCTGAATTGATTAAGTGAGAACCTTATTGCGACTTCAGATGACAATGAGATGTAATAAAAGTGATAGAGCACCAAACTATATTGGTAAGTTGTTGATTTCATTTTAATGGTTTAGATTTTTGGTTTTCCTTATACCTCACAATTTTGATTCCAATCCAAAATTTCCCTCAATTTGTTCAACCATAATAGCACAATATACCCTAACTAGTTGAGTTAAAGGAAGAAGACTGAAGGTGCTTTCTAAAAAAACATAAAAATTAAAACTGCACTTAACGGAAGATAACAGAATGTCCATAAATTATAAACTTTAGGAAATATAGTGATAAATTTGGCTAAATTTTTTTTTCTCAGTGGTCAAATTGAATTTTTGTATAAAACCTAGTGACAAAAAAGTATTTAAGGGTATGAAAGTATAAATAATTTGCTGGCAACATAAATTTGTATTGATGACTAGACCAAGGGATTTACCTCAGTGACTAGGTACCTCCCCCTTACTCCATTGGTCATCAGGCCGAATCCTAGGAAAAGTGATCCCCACCCCAATGAAAAAACAAAATTTGTATTCATGACGTAAAATTTTGATATTAACAAACTTTTTATGAACCAAATGATGCATCAAGTAATTAAACTCTTACAAATGTCGATTTTTTTATTATTTATTTTTGTAAATATATAAAAATTAAAGCAGTTATTAACTGGATAGTTAGCTTTAGGTGCAAACCTGCCTATACGATTTTTTACATAGCCGATTGATTAGCATTCACAACCCATAGTTTTCTAGATAACTGACTTTTTATTTAGCAATTGACAATGTTCTTAGTAATTTTAGATAATAAATTCGTACAACAAATACACTTGTAGGAAATGTTTTTTTTGGAGAAAGATCGATAGGTGTGCATGAAAATGTCTCATCGGAGAAATTTGTTTCTTCTATCGCTCTGAAGACAGTTACACTGACACATAATTATGTCACAGGTAAACATTCACGAAAAAGAATATTTCGATAACACAATTTTATATGTTTTGCCGTTAGAGTGATAGTTAACACAAGTAAATAGTTATGAGAGGTATACATTCATTTTACATTTCATTAACTTAAATTTGTCTCTTTCACAGTTTGAGTGACGATTACAGTGACACATAATTATGTCACATATATACATTTACAAAAATTGACATTTCAATAACTTAAAATTGCCTCTCTCATCGCTTGAGTGATGATTACACTGACATAGTCATGCCACATGTTTACATTCATAGAAAACAACACTTCGATAACTCACAATTATATCATGTATCTACGTAACAGGTAACGACATTTCGGTTAATGCTGAAGTCAGATGTACACATTGCATCTTTTTAACGTTGACACATAACGAGTGTTTATAGGTTAAAGATGTCTTTATTTTCATAAAAGTACACACATCTTTTATAGGACTACCCCACAATGCAATCCTCATTCAAGAATCATCCTAGACTAAAAGGTGTTGATAATTCAAAATGGGAAAAAAATACCGTTCGATAAATTAAACAGAAACAAAAAGGTGGATAATAAAATAACTAAACTGTTAAAATTCAGTTGAATTTTTTCATGAATAATACTTATTTTAAGGAATCTACCGACATTCTACCGAAAAAAGCCTCGAAACATAACTATATCACACGTACACGTTGGATTTCTTCAAATGAAATACAAGCGGTAATCAAAACACACAGGCCGCACACATGTTTAGCGGACTTTTTTATTGCTTATTAATTGCTTAGATTAAAGTACCTAATACGGTAAATTATATGGTGTGGTGTTTCCTAATTCAACAACCAAATAGGTTTCCTTGTTAAACACGTCTACTAAATGTTAATTGGCCTCTCAGAACTCTATAAATACCCAAACTTTCCGCCTTGAGATCCTTCCTTCCCTTTCTCTCTCATTTTTCTCTCTTTCTGTTGCATTCCGTATCTTTGCCTGCCTCTCTCTTCTCCCCTCGCCATTTTTAGGGTTTCCAGCTACTTTCTCTCCCAGGCGGGTGATCATTCCTCTCTCTCTCTCTCTCTCTCTCTCTCTCTTATTGTCCTTCCAATTATTTGGCCGCCTGTGAATGCTTGTTTATGTGAGGTTCTTTCGTTTCCAGGTTAATTCAGTCTCTTCTTCATCGACTATTAGAGATCAGGTTATACAATTTTCCTTCTCTTTAATTTTTCTTTTCTGTTTTCGTTGATATCATATAAAAGCAAATGCTGTTTGGATCCATATAACATGACCAAAACCAATCATTTTACCTTTCTTCTGAGTTTTTCTTCTCAGATCTTTACCCAAAGTCGCCCGATTTAGCTTTTTTACAGATTAGAAAGCAAACCCTTTTGTTTTTGTCATCCAATTATGACAAAGATGAAGCCTTTTTCATGGATTGTGGCGGAGCCCTTGGTGTCATGACCATGAGCCCCTAGCCCATTTACTTTGGGATAGCTTCATCAGTTTTGTTGCTGTTAAATCCATGAGATATACGGTTGGCTTCAGGACCATATGATATATTAATTAATGGATGTGTGTTGCTGTCAACATTTATATATACATGGTTTTGGGACCATTTTATTCATTATATATATGCATATGCTGCTAGTTTTCGTTTGATGGATCAATCATCTTTCTTTTTTCTTTTTTTTCTCCAAATCTTGGTTTTTTTTAATAATGGGATTTGTTGATGGGTGGAAATCTGATATGATGTGTATTAAAGAAAATGACTTGACAGCCAATATGTTAATTTTACCTTATTTTAGTACGGATTTCTATTTTGTCGGTTGCTGTGAACTGATGAAAATATGTTGAAATTTTCACAACGTGCCTAAATCACCTCCCTTGATGTAGCTTATAAAACAAAAGCCTCATGGACTTTGAACGAGAAGCTTTATTTGCTTTTATGGGTGCAATTTTTAAATTGAGAGTTCTTTTATTTATTTATTTATTTATTATTTGTTCATCACGAGCTTGATAAATTTTTCACGTGACAGTCTGTGTAATTGGTTTATTTTTCAGCTTGTGATGTCTTCAGAAAGTGTTTATGTTTTGAATACTTTGTATTTTTTTTTTCTGGTGGGGATTAAATATTACGTTCGTTGTGGTAGTTGTGATGTCTTGTCGCAGCACGGGGAATTGTTTTGTTTTGAACTTTATATATATAATAATTTATATTATTTTTAATTTAATCAATTCTGAAGGTGATGAATTCTTGGATCTATGGCTCCTTCAGCTTTTCGTGAATTACTATGGAGAAAAAACATTACACTTTTTATTTTATTTTATTTTTATTCTAGAAGAAAACCATTTGCATAGAGTGATTTTTGTTCTGAATGATTGGACCAGAAAACCTTACATTTCAATCTCGTAGTGACCCACAATAGGAGTTGTGCATTATGTCTTGGTATGGTTGAATTTTTATTTATATGCATGTGATAATGCTTTTTATGTAAGTGCTTTTGGGGGACTAGACAAATCAGTTGAGCCCAATTTATATTTTGCTTCTATAAAGTAACTATAGATGATGATGTATAGCATTATATGCATACATAAAATACAAATATAGTTAGATTATTATACTCTATAATATATAGGTGTGAACATTTAACTTCAAGTGTATATTTTAATGGTTTATATCTTGTGTGTATATTCTATTATCTGATTGCATATATGATTCATTTTTAATGCTATTTCTTATTTTATCAATAGCTGTTTGGGTTGATTTTTTCCCCCTATTTAATCTTTGGTTGCTTGAATCTTAATTTTGAGAAAGAATACTTATGCTATTTTTTTGGGAAAGTAAACTGAACCTGCTTTGGTTTGGTTTTGGTTTCAATTATTAGCAAACTGAGATTATCGATTCGATGTCCGAATTGAACCCAAAACTGAACCAACTCAGATCGAGCCCACCCGAATACTGTGTAGATAGCAACTTATATAATTTCTGCTGAATTTCAATGACAACATAAGTTGATAGAATGTGCCAAGAAAACTTGTATTTGTGGTATAGTTTATTGCCAGCATTCGATGGTGGGGTCTTTGAGAAATGGACTAATATATACTACACCTGACCATCCCTTTGCCCTGCATGCAGTGATTATTGTCTTTTGTTTAAACTCAAAAATTAGGTAGCCTCTATGTCCAAATCTTTGGTAAGAATTTATTTAACTATGACTAATTATGTTAATCAAAGGAATCTATGAATTAATTGACTTGTGCATTGTGCCCCTTTTTTTTATGCATCAATAAATTATCAAATTAGTTTGACTTTGTTTTTGTTTGGGGTGGTTGTAAAGAGTCACATGTGTTTTCTGTCAATTTATATGGATCTCATGAGTCTTATAGAGTTGGTGTTTTTTTTTACCACATGGCATAGAAATTACCTTCCCTTCAAAGTCTGTTGTTCCTGCAACTCTTAAGCACCATAGATTTTCATTTGCTTCTGGATTGTTTTGAGTGCCAACCCTATTTTAACTGCCCTTTGATATGATTTAAGTTCACCCTGGTAAAAGTGATTGCAATTTGCAAGTGTTGTAGTTGAAACTTGAAGCAAATGTTCATTTACATGTGCATACACACCAATACTTAAGCCACATATTTTATGGTTCTGCAGGAAGAGGCTTAGTACAAACTTGCTGCAATTTGAAAGCATATAACTATATCCTTTCCTCCCGAAGACCATTGTGCGAAGAATGTTTGACCGCCTTTTATGAATGCAGTGTTGTTCTGGGGATGAGAAGGTGTGACTCTGAACACTTGGTGTGAATTTGGTTTGGACATTGGTATTCTGAAGCTGGTTGTTTTTTATCTTTCCATTTGACGCTTTAATGTCATGACAGTTTTGAGGAACTCTGTGCTTAATGGACTGCTCACCCAACAGCAGTGACAAGAAAACGTTGAAGAGGTGGTTTTTCATTGACAAAAGGGTCGGCTAAAACAAGTACATTTCTTGAACTTAGGAGCATACTCTGTGTTGTTGACAGAGCGCCATTCATATTAAACACTACAAACTACAAAACTTTGTCACTTTGATTAGCACTTGGCAACGAAACTGGATCCAATGGAGTTGAAGACAAATCACGCTGCTCCGGTCCTCACGGACCCTCCACCGATAAGTAAGTCAAGACTAGGCCTCCATTCTAGTTTGTTGCCATTCTCACAGCAAGGAGCATCATTCTCCTCTGGCAAGTACATTAACATCCCAAGGAAAAAGCCAGGAAAGCTCGATGATGTTCGGTCCAATGGTTGGCTTGATGCCATGAAATCCTCTTCACCTCCCCGGAAGAAGCTCAATAAGGATTTCAATGTTGAGGTTGCTTCAGATGATGTTGATAATGCTTACTGCTTTTGGATGGTATATTTGCTTCTCTTTTATTAACTTTGCAGTTTATATCCATTTGTTCTTGTATGACTTCAAACTTATTCGTCTGGTGCTCTCTGTGATGATGCAGCTTAAGCATCCATCAGCGCTGAATTCGTTCGAGCGGATTACAAATTTTGCAAGGAACAAGAAGATAGCAATATTTCTAGATTATGATTGTGTTTTGTTGTTTCATGCTTATAAATTTCGACTTTTATTTATCTTCTGTGTCTGAAACCAAAAGAAACTGTTGCCAGATGCGTTCAGCTGTAAGAAATGTTGCGAAGCATTTTCCAACTGCTATTATTAGTGGAAGAAGCCGCGATAAGGTAGCTGCAGCATTTCCCCCTCTCTTTTTTCCGACTCAGTGTTTAATTTCATCTTTTCTATTTGGTCCTAGTGTGGATGCCATTCGAATGCTGGTCATTAGGGCCGTCTGATGAGCGGATTTGTTTCAGGTATATGATTTGGTAGGACTAACAGAACTTTACTATGCTGGTAGTCATGGAATGGACATAATGGGTCCTGTCACTAATACAGACTCCAATGACCATCCAAACTGTGTGAAATCTACTGACCAACAGGTAACATGACAATAAAATTCTACAAGTCCTTTGCACTCTTGTATAATTTTTTTCCGTTGAGTTCTCATTATCTGTCTTTGATATGGCAGGGTAAGGAGGTAAACCTCTTCCAGCCTGCTAGGGAGTTTATACCTATGATCGACGAGGTTTTTAGAACCCTCGTCGAGAATACTAAAGGGATCAAAGGTGCAAAAGTTGAAAATCACAAGTTTTGCGCCTCTGTACATTACCGTAATGTAGATGAGAAAGTAAGCATTTACTTAAAGAAGAATAGAAGAAAGCTTACAATTGCATCTGCAAGAGTTTGTCTGACTTGTTTTGGTTATTTTTGGCATGTGTTCTGACTTCAGAATTGGTCTACAATTGCACAAAGTGTTCATGATATTCTCAAAGACTACCCTCGTTTACGATTAACTCATGGGCGGAAGGTAATTAATCTCACTGGTTTGCCTTAATCTTGTTGCTTTTCACCTTATTATCATTTGCATTAATAAGCCAAATTCTTTCCATCTAACATATAAATTTGGACAATGTTTTTTCTTGCAGGTTTTAGAGGTCCGCCCTGTTATTGACTGGAACAAGGGAAAAGCAGTTGAATTTTTGCTTGAATCTCTTGGTAGTGAACCAAACCTCTCTCTCTCTCTCTTCTTTTTCTCTCTCTTAAATGATACATATTCACACTATGGGAACCTGGACAAATGGTGCAGGGCTAAATGGTAGGGATGATGTGCTCCCAATTTATATTGGTGATGATAGGACCGATGAAGATGCATTCAAGGTGACACTACCATCACTGCATTTTTACTAATCTTACTCACAAGAGTTTGTAACATTGACACTAAATATAAAATCTCCATATATTGTTTCAGTTCTTGAAGAAGAAGAAGAAGCGTGGTTATGGAATTCTGGTGTCGCCGGTTCCAAAAGAAACCAGTGCCTTCTACTCTCTCAAGGACCCATCAGAGGTTTTACTCTCATCCTTAATATGTATAATGTATTATGTATGAATTTGCTGGCATGTTGGCTGTGTTTTTTTTTAATTTCATCTCAAAAAATCCACGAAATTTTTATACAGGTCATGGAATTTCTCAAGTCCTTGGTGAGATGGAAGGAGGAAGAAGCCAATTAAATGCTAAGGGAGCACTTAGTTGATCTGAAATATAGTATTAATAGGCTTTTAGTTTTTTTTATAAGTTTTGAACTCCACAAGAACTCAAGGCTGCTAAAAGCAGCTGCTGTTATTTTACAACCTCAGTTGTCAGTTCAGAGCTTCTCAGTTATTTTGTTATTTCATGTCTTTGGCTTATAAAAAATAAGTATTTTCTCCCCATTTTCATCTCTCAAAGCTTTCCTTACCACGATGGTTCCTTCTAATCTTGTAGACTTTGTGGAATGTCACAAACTGTTTCAGTGTACTGCACAAAAACTTCTCTAATTTTTATTTCACTTTGGATCCTGCACTTCTGGGATTTAAATTTCGACAACTTACACGTTAAAACTGTATGTCGAAAAGATATTATTGGGGTTAACTTACATATAACTACATCGAAACCAATCAATTTTCAACCACGCAAAGTGAACAAAACTTGAAGATTAGCAGAAGAACAATTTTTTCTTTTTTTGTTGGTTAGAAAGATCAGCAAGGCAGCAATCCCATTTCTCAGTTTTGTAAATTTGTACCACACTTGGTTGGCATTTTGGACTTTATAACTTAACCCAATACTGAAATAAATTGGAAGCTTTGTAAGGTCCATTGTACTTCATAAAAAACAATCAAATGGGGTCACAAAACAAAACACAATCTCCCAATATTTGCCTAGCGGAGAATACAATAGGACTTGTCTTGTCCCTATATCCGGTCTCTTTCTCTCTCAACTCAAAAAAACCTCAAATGATCGTCCTTGTTATTATCATCTATATCCATGATCCGACTTATTATGAGGTACCTTTTTTCATATATTATCTTCAAAACTATTTATTAAAGCATAGTTCTAGACATCATTTACCCCAATTCAAAGCTTGATTTTGAAATTGTGCGAGAGGTAACGCTATTTATATAACATAATATACAATATGCATGTGATGATATATATAAATTTATTACATCACATAACATATCGATAATAACATGACACGTGTCTTAAATCAATAGAGATGGATACTTCCAACTTAGGACAGTCTTCTTTCTAAAAAGAGAAGGTCGTAAAACATTTTCCCTGCATGTAAACATGTTTTTACATAGACAAAGTGAAAATGTCCATAACAAAAAAGCATCATTAAAATTCGGGGGATGAGGTTTTTTTTTTTTTTTGGAAACAGAGGATGAGGTGTGTACACATAAAAACATGCCTCACTGATCCGCCCAAATAACTTCCAACTGCTACCGATTTCGAGCGAAGCCCAAAAATGTCAGTCTCTTTGCAATCTCCGCCCTCCTCAGCTGTCTCCTCTTTCCAGGTGCACTCAATACTCTCTATCTCTCTCTCCTCTCTCCGAGCTCTGCTTCGCTAACTATTGCTGTACGAGCTGTAAACTTTGATTTTTTTTTTTTAAATTTTGTTTTACATTCAAAATTAATCATAGCAGGGAACAAGGCTGAGATTTTCCAATGGATCTCCAGCTTCCAATCTGCTCTTCAACTTCCAGCGATCATTTCCTGTCATTCGGGCCTCCGCTCTCGACACCGGTCAGTGAGCTTTCTGTCTCAGTGTCTCAATGCTCAGCTTTGCTTCTTGTGTTATTTTATTTTATTTTTATCATTTGCATTTTTTACATTTTTGGTTGAATTGGATTTTCAGGTTCAACCACAGAATTGGACCTCGTCTCTAGCTTCAGTGAGATCGTTCCAGACACTGTCATTTTCGATGACTTCGAGAGGTATCTAAATATATATTCTTTTTCTTTTGCTTGTTTTGTAGAAGTGGAGTTTGAAATTTTCATGATCATGCTGTCAATTATGAATCAAAATTTCTTCTGAACTGATAATAATGTCTTTGCTTAATGATCAGAATAGCTTTAATCTTCATTTACTGTTTTTAGATTTTAGTTTGGTAGCAACAGAAACTCGGAGTAATAAAGTAGCATATCCATATTGTTTAAAATTTCATTTATTTCATATTTTTGTATGGTTTCATGAAGGATTATTTCTAAATTTTGAACTTTTGGCTGTTTACTGATTATTTATGAAAAGGTTTCCTCCAACCGCTGCTACAGTGAGCTCTTCCCTACTCTTGGGTATATGTAGCCTCCCTGACACCATATTTAGAGTAAGCGTTCAATCTTCCATTGGGGAAGAAATCTTTCGAAAAATAAATAAGAAATCACATGTGCTTTCCAAATTCAATATGGGACTACATTTTCTGATTACTTTTTCTTTGGTGTAGAATGCTGTGGATATGGCATTGGCGGATTCAGAGTGCAATAAGCATGAAAACTCCGAATTGAGATTGTCATGTTTCAGTAACAAGGTTGGTTTTCTTGTATCTTGTCATTAGAAATACCTATGTCTTGTTAGATTGATCATATTGCTCAAAATTTAGTTATGCGCGTGTAGGCTTTAGTGAATGTTGGTGGTGATTTGGCGAAACTAGTTCCTGGCCGAGTGTCTACTGAGGTGGATGCACGTCTTGCTTATGACACGCATGGCATTATCAGAAAGGTATTCGTTTCTTCCTGGTAATCTTGTCTTATATTTTCTAGTTAAAGAAAATGCTAATACATTACACAAAAATTAAACATACTATAAATGCTGATGTTCAAGAACAATTTGTTGGTTTCTATCTTAACTGTGTATGCATTCATCTTATTCTTGATTGTTTTTCAAGCAACTATATGACTTCTGTTAATGATAATCTTGATAAGTTTTGTCATGTTGTTTATTTTATTGAGCTATACTTGTCATGGCTGGTGTAATAGTTTTGCATTAAAGTTCTAAAAGGCCTATAATATGACTAGATTTGATAGTTTGTTACTAGATTTAATAGTCTTGCAGAAAATGTGTGAGAAAAAAATGATACTGAAATTTTGTTGCATTTTCTTACGGGTGTGTACTTTATTAATTTTAGCGCGCACAAATTTTAAGTGCCAGTATTTTTTTGCTTATTTTCCTCAGGTATATCGTTTTCTCCCTGATATCACTTAGATTATTTGCTATCTCTTTCATTGCAGTCTGATACAATTGGTTTATCTAATACGCAGGTGCATGACTTGCTGAAGTTGTACAATGAAGTTAATGTTCCTCCTGAGCGTTTGTTGTTCAAAATTCCTTCAACTTGGCAAGTAAGTGTCAGAGATAATTAGGCCTGTTGTGAATATTCTGAGTGGACTTGATGACAATTGCTCAGGCCTGTTGTGAGGCGATTGTTTTGCATCATTTTGTTGCTCATCGATTGTTGGTTTTCTGTTCAGGGAATTGAAGCTTCAAGATTACTAGAATCTGAGGGCATACAGACGCATTTGACATTTGTGTACAGGTAAAGCTCTTGTAATTAACTGGTGTTAGCTTGACAAACCTGTTTGAAATCTTAGACTTGATGTTGTACTCCTAACTTCTATAAGGGCACAGTTTTATACAGTTGTAACAGAGGATAAAGTTTTACAATACCGCCTCCCTCCCTCCCTCTCTCCTCTCCCTCTCCCTCTCCCTCTCCTTTTCCCATTTCCCCTTCCTTGTGGGTTGGGCAACAAGATTGCTTCTCATGAATTGTAAAAATTTGTTGATTTAGCTTGCTTTTGTTTTGAAAGTTCAAATCCATGATCCTGGCGATGTCTAAAGGAGCCATTATAGTTAGAATTACATGTTTTCTTATTGTGGCATTGAAAATTACTTGTATATCAATAAAAAATGCCGAGGCAGAAGCTATTAGGTTTTGATTATATAAACAACAAATCAGAATGCTGCTTTGTGATTTTTGTCATCTGTGATTTATGAACATTACTTTGCCATTATATCTGCTGTTCAAGTTCAACTTTGTACTTCTCATTACTCTTTTTTTTTTTTTTTCTCTCTATATGTGTCTCCAAACACACTCACACGCACAATGCTGTTCTAAGATTAATTCATTTTAATTTTTTAGTTGTGTTTGGTGATGGTTTGAACATTTTTCTTCAGCTTTGCTCAAGCTGCAGCTGCAGCCCAAGCCGGCGCTTCTGTTATTCAGATTTTTGTTGGCCGTCTTAGGGTAATGTTTTTTCACATTCGTAATAATGGAATTTTTATTTAGTTCAACTTCAGTTTATTGTAACCGCTAAAGGTCAAATTTATCATTCAGGATTGGTCTCGCAACCATTCTGGTGACCCTGAGATAGAAGCTGCTCTCAAGAGAGGGGAGGATCCTGGGTTAGCATTGGTAAGTTGGAAAGTTCTTGTCTTTTGGTTTTGTGATTATGTACTATTGTTTGTTGTGGTCCTTGAACGGGACCACTCTGTTTTGAGTTTTGATTTTTGACCTCTAGATGCATCTCAGTTGCAAGCAATTACCAAATATAAACTGGTTTGTACTTTTGGTTTTTCCAGTATTGTTTTATATCCTAAAATCTGACAACCATTAGGAATGAGCCTAAATAATTTATTCTAACATTTTCTTTCCCCATCACTGACTAGAGTATGTTAGATGCTTTAACTTCTGGCTACACCTTGAATTTCTCAGGTGACACTAGAGCTTTCGTAAAGGATAGTAATGAATATAAACTGTTCCCGTATGAGATGCTTTTTGACATTACAGGTGACAAAGGCATATAACTACATCCACAAATATGGACATAAATCAAAGTTAATGGCAGCAGCAGTTCGGAATAAGCAGGATTTGTTCAGTCTCTTGGGGTAAATTATATGACTCGCCTTTTAATCTTATGTATCTGGGAATTTCCAACAAAACTCAACTCAAGGATCAATCTTCCTGCTTGTGTTGTCTGGTACATGTTCAGGGTTGACTACATCATTGCACCACTGAAGGTATTGCAGTCACTAAAAGAATCAATCACTACCCCTGAAGAGAAGTATTCTTTCGTCAGGAGACTATCTCCACAATCTGCTGCCATCTACAAGTTCAGTGAAGAAGAGGTCTGCTTTCTGTCCTGTGCTCAATACATTTTATTCTGCATCAGGAATGAGAAAAATAAAATGAAAAAATAATATGTGAAGCGAAATGATGACTCAGGTTAACAGGTTCACCTGCATGTTGTGTGTAGTGCTGTTGGTACTTAAATTTTAATCTCTTATTTCATGTGGCAAAGACAAAAGGGTGCCAGTTTTGATAGAGCTATGTGAAAAGCCAAATAATTATACAATAATGAGTGCCTCTATTTTTTGAGAAGTAGACATGTTGAGTGCCAAAAGAAAAAATAAAAGAAAAAGGAAGAATGCCAAAGGTACTAAATATTTTAGTATTAACCCTTTTTTTCTCAGATATTAGTATTAATAAAACCTGCCAACTT